GACACCGCACAGGTGCCATGAATACGCAAGCCTTGTTCTGACGCGAAGCGTACGGTGGTGGCACGGCGGACGTGATGCATGCCGACATTATGCATGCATGTTGGTTGTGGGTCGTGTCAGAACGGTTTCCCAATGTCTAGTGATATGCATCGGTGTACGGACCGGCAGTCATCAGCAGAATGGCCGTGGGAATGCGCCGTGGACATCGACGCCAAGCATTAGTGTCTGCATTCACGCCCATTGCCTGTTGAGGAGGCTAGAGACATGCTTACCGGGTCCCGTCCTGAATACGCTCATTTGCTTAAGTGTATTATGTGCGACAAGCATACGGCAGTCCTGCGTTGTTTCTGGCGGAGCTGGTGAGGCCTCGCACGGCTTAAAGGTCTCGACGCCGCACAGGCTTGTTTGAGCTAGATCGCTGCTGCTTGAACACGGCTAGAGCTCTAATCGACAAGGCAGAATGTGCCACCGCCTTTTACACAGGGTATACTTTGTGCGCTGTTTCTCCTGTCTACTCGGGGCCGATTGAATACCATGCACTGGCAGTTGTTTCGTCTCTGTCTTTCCAGTTTCTCGCAGTCCATCTTCATCTCCCCATTCAGGCGTTACGTCTCTTTCTCGTTCTTTTTCTCTTTCCTGATCTCGCTCTCGCTCTTGCTCTTCTGCTCGCTTTTTTCGCCCTCCGCCCGCACTCGCAACAACCGCTCGTCTGCATCTAAACCAGGAATTTAATGCATAGTACGCCAACCGTTTACCTCAGCGCACACTTTTGTCTACCTCCCGTGTTCTGACGACGTCCCTTCCTTCGATAGGAAAGAACTGCGAGACGGACATCGCCGAGTGTGAGCAGAGCCCGTGCCAGAACGGCGCCGCCTGCGTGGAGAAGTCCAACAGCAGCCTGTACGAGATGGGGCTGGTGATCCCGGGCCTGCCGCCCACCTACAACTTCTCGACGGCCGGCGGCTACCTCTGTCTCTGCCTGCCCGGCTTCTCCGGCGACGACTGCGAGGTCAACATTGACGAGTGCGCCTCCAAGCCGTGCAAGAACGGCGGCACGTGCGTGGACGGCATCAACGACTACACGTGCCAGTGCTGGCCTGGCTATGAGGGCGAGCACTGCCAGACGGAGATCGACGAGTTCGTGCGGCTACAGCCGTGCCATCGCGGCGTCTGCCAGGACCGCGTGGCCGACTACGTGTGCGAGTGCGAGGACGGCTTCGGCGGTAAGAACTGCTCGGTGGCGCTGCTCGGCTGCCGCGACGTCACCTGCCTCAGCGGCGGCACGTGCCAGCCGTTCGTCGTCAATGAGACGGAGCACATGTTCCGCTGCCGGCTGCCCACCCGGCTTCTACGGCGACCTCTGCGAGAAGGAGACGACCGCCTCGTTCCAGGGCGCGTCGCACGTGCGCGTGTCCTCGCCGTCCGACGCCGACAACTACACGCTGAGTCTGCGCTTCCGGACCACGCTGCCGGACGGCCTGCTGGCCTGTCGGCCAGGGCCACTCCCGGCGGTGACTCGTTCTTCCGACTCCGCCTCAGCGGCGGCGCAGTCAACCTCTTCAGCAGCATGCAGAACGCGCTGCAGGGCCTGACGGTGGGCGCGGCGCTGCACGACGCCGCCTGGCACCACGTGCTCATGGCCATCAACGGCTCAACGGCGGCGCTGTCGGTGGACGGCAGCGGCGCCCATGAACCGTTGCGCGTCTCTTCGTCGGACGACACGCGGTTCGCCAGCACGATGCTGGGTCACGCGGCCGCCAGCCACCTCCAGCTGTTCGTCAACACGAGCGGCTTCGTCGGCTGCATGCAGGACATCATGGTGGACGGCGGGGCCGTGGTGCCGTCGATGCTGCGGGAGGACCAGCAGGAGAACCTGACGCTAGGCTGCCCGCGCGAGGAACAGGTGAGCGCCGGTGGCGAGCAGGCTCACGAACCGCAGACTCACCGCCAGCCGGCGGACGGCATGGTAAGACAGACAAGAAGCTGTTTGTTCGTGTTTGGAACCGGTGAGGTTCCGTGGATGGTAGGATGCTGAATAGCAGTGAGTTTGGGGCTGCTTTGCTACTGAGCAGACGGAGACTCCATGATAGGTTGTTTGAGACTGGGCCATTAGTAACACGACAAATTGCAGCCTGGGATTATTGCGTACGGGCGTCGTGTCGTTCAGCCTTGGCGCCTTTACGAACTCAGCTTAAATGCTTGGAAGGCAAAACAGTTTTCGTCAATTTTATATCGTCGTTCCGTTTAACTTACACATCCCACTCTCCGTGGACTGTCACAAATCGAGGTGAGCTATGATGTGTGGTATTATGAAGTAGGTATGCAATGCAAAACTGTTTTGTTCTCAGCTGCTTCAGCTTTGGCGGGCCGGAATCCTCTGGCCGCTTTGCAGCCTGGTGATATTCTTTGCTTCGTAACTTTAAATTTTCAAATGCATTGATTTAATAATTAATTGCGTTGTCGTAGCTTTTCGTACTCCCTACTCACAGCATTAATTTCCGTGCATTCGTCGGCCAAGTATTAGCTCCTTAACGCTGTCACTAAGTGCGCTTGTGATATGTCCTCCGTGTCGTGCACGGTCACAGCATGGTGTGCCGATCTGTTGCAGTGCTCCCCGAACCCGTGCATGAACGCCGGCGCCTGCGTGGATCTGTGGAGCCGGTACAGATGCGACTGTGTTCGGCCCTTCCTCGGCCCAGTCTGTGACCGAAGTACGCAGCGCCGTCGCATGACCACTGTTGTGGTGCTGAAACTGTGGGCGCCCCGTAGGAGCCAATGTCGCCCCAGGGCCAGTTCTTTTTCGGACACGCGACTAGCTGGTGATGGCGCGGACGTGGGCGTTGTCCGTGTCATTGAAGGCTGGCGGTTTGGCATGCAGCACCGGCCTTTAACGATAGCGACCGCGCAACCCCGCCGCCCGCCGCCTGCTTGTGGTGCCTGGATCCAGGTGCAGCAGTCTGAGCGCGATCACGCGGTCCGCGCGGAACAGCTAGCGGGCAGATGTGATGCGGGGGGGGGGGGGATTGCCCCCAGCGAATATTGAAAGGGCCTCTTCGGCATTTTCTGGTAATATGGCATCTAAATGACCTGCGGGGGCGAAATCCGTTGCCCCCAAAATGCACGATGAACATTTAACTAAAAATGTTTGCGCAACGCTCTTGTGTTGTTTCTAAGGGTATCAAAATGCCGTTCTGTGTTGGCCTTTTCTAACCTCCGTCACGCGGGATCCCACAGACATCACGGCGGCCACATTCAACCACGAGAACAGCAGCGGCTCGCTGGTGTCGGTGGCGGTAGAGCCGGCGTTCGCCGCCTCGCTCACCACCTTCGTCGACATCTCGCTGTTCGCGCGCACGCGGCAGCCGGATGGCATGCTCTTCTACCTGGGCACGGACGTGGCGGACGTGCTGGGCGCCGGTGGCATCACTTACCTGGCGGCCGAGCTGTCCGGCGGTCTGCTCCAGCTGCGCCTGAAGCTGGCCGCCGACCGCGAGGAGCTACTCGAGGTGCCCGGGCCGCGGCTCGACGACGGCGTCAACAACCTTGTCAGGGTGGGTGCGCCGGTGTCGGCGGAGGCAGAGGAGTCGCCGCCGTCTCGTGAGCATGCGGAGCAGGCGTCGCGTGGTCACAAGGACGCAGGCTGCTGGCATGTGTAGATGTGGGGCGCACGTCGGTACCGATGCTATTTCCGGTTTCACAGGGCCGATTGCCCTGGGGGCGATGAAAGCCTCGGCTGGCAGGCTAGTGTTACCAGAGCTGCCTCACAGACCAGCTGGCCCGGGAACCCCTCCCAGGCGTGTGCCCGACTGTCACGGCTTCACTTCATTGTCTTCGACCCTGCACTCGTGACGCCCCCGACCGTGACGCTGCGGCTGTGACACTGCGGCTGTGACGCTGCGGCTTGTGACGACTGCTGGCGGCTGTGACGCTGCGGCTGTGACACTGCGGCTGTGACACTGAGGCGTGACGCCGGCTGTGACGCTGCGGCTGTGTGGACACTGCGGCTGTGACAGCTGCGGCTGTGACGAGGGCTGTGACGCTGCGGCTGTACGCTGCGGCTGTGACGCTGCGGCTGTTACGCTGTGGCTGTGACGCTGCGGCTGTGACGCTGCGGCGTGACTGCGGCTGTGACGCTGCGGCTGTGACGCTGCGGCTGTGACGCTGCGGCTGTGATGCGCGGCTGTGACGCTGCGGCTGACAGCGGCTGTGACGCTGCGGCTGTGACGCTGCGGCTGTGACACTGCGGCTGTGACGCTGTGGCTGTGACGCTGCGGCTGTGACGCTGTGGCTGTGACGCTGCGGCTGTGACGCTGCGGCTGTGCCTCCCCCGCCGCCGTCCCTGCCGCTCTGTCGGCGTCTGTCCGAGCGCGGCCTGACCGTCACCGTCCCCGCAGGTGGTGCGCAACGACACCATGCGCGTGCTGGTGAACGGCGCCGAGCGGGCCAACGCCTCGCTGCCGGACGCGGCGCCGCTCTCTGTCCAGGTGCTGTACCTGGGCGACGTGCCGGAGCCGGGCCGCCGCCGCCGTCGCCGCCAGGTGGAGGAGCGAGGCGTGCAGCCTGTCTTCAAGGGCAGCCTGCCAGGACGGTTCGGGTGAGAAGGCCATGCCGCGCGCCGCGGCGTGGGCTCGGACAGAGCTCGCAGGGCGACCGGGGGTGCCTCTGTAAGGAGGTCAAACGCCCCATAGATATATATATATATATATATATATATATATATATATATATATATATATAGATATATATATACATATATATATATATAGATATATATATAGATATATATACATACATGTGGGGCGTATATAACATGTGTGTGCACGTGCACATGTGTGCACGCGTGCGTGCGTGCATGCGTGCATGCGTGCGTGCGTGCGTGCGTGCGTGCATGCGGGCGGGCGGGTGGGCGGGGCGGGCGGGCGGGCGGGCGGCGGGGCGGGCGGGCGGGCGTACGTACGTACGTACGTACGTACGTGCGTGCGTGCGTGCGTGCGTGCGTGCGTGCGTGCGTGCGATGACATGCAATGCTGACTGGGCTCAACCCTCCCCACCGGTGTGGTTGCGTGCCCGCGTTCAAGGAAGTCCTCATTCCTCGGAACCGAATCTCTGCGCTTCGTCAGTGAACTAACCGGCCTTAGCGGGTTCCTGTCGCGATTGCGGACCGTCATTTTTTCCGCACGAGATTCGGTGGTGGGCTGCTACAGACTCCCCACGGCATGGCTGTGACACGCTGTGGCCGGCCGGCGGTGGCTGCTGTCCACAGATCATCAACGGAGCCGGCCAGACGCGCCTGGTCGAGTTTTACCCGCTGAATGACCCGAGCTTGCGCCTGCCGCCGCCGCTGGGCCTCGTGACCGCTGACCGGGTGCTGGCCGGCTCGGTCAGCGACGACACGTGCCGAGACGGCCCGTGCAGCAACAACGGCACGTGCGCCGTCACGTGGAACGATTTTAGGTGAGGCCGCGGCGGGACAGGTCGGGGCGCCGCGGGTCACAAATATCACCGGGCAGAGCAGGAGAATTCGTAAAGCAGGGGTGGAGAGGGTGAGGCAGGGCGGGACAGCACATATATGATAGAGGAGGAACAGGACAGAGTCGGACAGCATACAAGACGGAACGGAACAAGGCGGAAACGATAAGGAGGGGGATTTACAGTGGATAGAGTCATACAGCAGAAAACGATATAGGAGAGTTGATGACGGGGAACGGGAGGTGAAGTGCGCGACTGTTTAGTGAAACACAGAGGACTCCAGGAAAGGCAATGCAAATCCGACGAAGCGCTTTAGCACTGCTTAGTGAAAAGCGCAGATCAGGGCATACCGTGGTCGAGGCGCGTGAGGTTTTACGTGATGATAGGTACGCGCGTCATGCACAGTAGGCCTTATTCTTCCACAGCAGTGTGCAACTCGAGAATGAAATCCTAGACAGCTAATTAATGTAACTGACGTTGGTGGACGCGCATACAGTTGTCTCAGCGCACTGCAGCCACAAAACTGGCCGGACATCAGCTGGCCGGTCGCGTCATGCCGCTGGTGGTGACACTGTGTCCGGTGCGTGTCGCAGCTGCACCTGTCCGCGAGGGCTACAAGGGCCGCACCTGCACCGAGCTCGAGTACTGCGTGTGGCACGAGTGTCCGGGCGACTCAACCTGCCACGACCTCGCCGACGGCCACGAGTGCGTGGCCAACGCCACCTTCAACGGCGTCAACAGCTCGGTGGCGTACGCGGCGCGGCTGTCGGCCGGCGCCGCGCTCGACTCCATCTCGGTGGCGTTCCGCAGCCGTGCCGGCGGCCTGCTGCTCTCCGCTGGCGGGCTTGACGCTGGCGCTGACGGCGGAGGGCGCGCGGCTCGCCTGGCCCGGCGCCGAGCTGACGGTCGGCGCCGACGCCGACCTGCTGTCGGGCGCGTGGCGCCGGCTCGAGCTGCGCTGGGACGCCGCCGAGCTGCGCCCAGCCGTGGACGGCGAGGCGCTGCCGCCGCTGCCGCTGCCGGCGCCGCTCGAGCTGGCGCAGCTGGTGGCGGAGGCGGAGGTGCGGCTGGGCGCGGCGCCGGCCGCCCAGCGCCCGTTCCGCGGCTGCCTGTCGGCCGTGCGGCTGGGCGGCGTGCTGCTGCCGTTCCTGTCCGATGAGGCGGTCAACAGCTCAGCCGCCGACAGGTTCGCCGTGCGTCAGCCCATGCAGTTCGTGGCCGAGGACTGCACGTTGTGCTACCAGCACGAGTGCCAGAACGGCGGCGCGTGCGCCGCGCCGGCCGACGAGTTCGACTGCACGTGCCCGGCCGGCTTCAACGGCACCACCTGCCAGAACAACATCGACGAGTGCCTGCTGGGCAACGAGTGCACGAACGGCGCCACCTGCGTGGACGGCGTCGACGGCTACTCCTGCGCCTGCGTGGGTGGGTACGTGGGCGAGCACTGCGAGACTGAGGTGGACGAGTGCGCTTCACTACCGTGCCAGCACGGCGCCACCTGCGTCGACCGCATCAACAACTACACCTGCGTGTGCACTGACGAGTACATCGGCCGCGACTGCGAGCAGATGAAGGTCGTCAACTGCACGCACAAGCCGTGCCAGAACAGCGGCGTCTGCGTCGACGTATTCGACGGCGAGGTGGCCGTCAACTACACGTGCGCGTGTCCGTTTGGTTTCGAGGGTCGCGACTGCGAGCTGGTCACGGACTTCTGCCAGCCTCAGCCGTGCCTGAACGACGGCACCTGCTCATCGAACCCCGGCGTCGTAAGTTGCTGTCGGCTGTTGGCTAGGGCGCCGTACAACGGCGGCAAGACAACGCTTTCCGATTAATTTTTGAGCTCCGCAAGTGGCTTGTTGACATGGACGTTTGTTTTGTTCACGTCAGGCTCTTGTTTGTCTTGCATTACAATATGCGTTCTCGGCTCAACTCTTTATTCTGCGTTTGTAAGTCGCTGAGTGCATTTGCAAGGAACATTATGCATATAGGTAAGACGGTAGTTATTGTTTTATTCTTCGTAGAATGGCCGGAAGAATGAGAAGATAGTATCTCTATCCCACGAACTTCCCCACTTTCCTGGCTATTCTACAAAGAATAAGGTCATAAGTACCGTCTCATCTGTTATGCGTTTGTCTTGTCACAAGTGGATGTCATCTAGCAACGCTGCCATGTCTCTGTAGTCTGGGCCCATGCCCTCCGGTGTGCATATCGTGCTGACCTCGTGGGGCGCTGATCACCGCCTCGGGTGTGCCTCGCAGGGCTACACCTGCCAGTGCGCGCTGGGTTTCGAGGGCGACGACTGCGAGATCAACATCGACGAGTGCGCCTCGACGCCCTGTCAGAACGGCGGCACGTGTCTCGACCAAGTGAACTCGTTCGTGTGCTCCTGCCCGTCGGGTACGTTGGACAGACTCAAAGCTGTGGGCTGGGCTGTAAATTGCTGAGCGGAAGGCTGCTGTCATTGTTGAGAAAGTTTCGGGCCTTTAGGTTTGGGATGTATTGCCCGAGAGAAACAAACCATCACTAATTAGCCAGCGTAGGAAGTTGTGTTTGGTCCCTGGAACCATCGAATGCAAGCGTTAGCTCCGTGAGGTGAACTGTATGGAATATGACAAGATACGACAGAAAAGGATAGGATAGGGCAGGATAGGGCAGGATAGGGTAGGATATTACAATATGATTGATAGGATATGATAGGCTAAAACTACATACAAATGCTGTGTGAAGCAAGGACATATTCATCTGCCGATGGTCGGTTCCCTACCATCTGGGTGCAATGTCCTTAAGGCTATTTACTGAAGCACCTATCCCTAGCAGCTGGCGACGTTGGATCAGACAGATAATTGTGCTCACGGTCGAGACTTGATCGTGAGTGGGATACGGTGCAGAACACCCCCATAACTCCCCCCCCCCCCCCCGTCTCGGTCCCAGCCGTTTGGGCCATTCTGTCCCGGCATTGGTGGGAGCCGGGTCTTTCTACCTCAGAATCAGTAGTCTGATTTTATCATTCTGGCTATGTATTCCAAGCGAGCGGGCATAAGCTGTAAACGCACAGCTCAGAAGTACTATTCTGTGCATTGCCTATCCACCCGTATTCCTGTGTATTGCCTAGCCACCCGCTTAGTATTTGAGGAAAGCAGAGGAGGTGGTTGCGGACACCAGTGGGCGCAGCATTCGTTCATGAGTGGGAGTGACGCTTCAGCGCGGTGCACACGTGGGCAGACCGCGACCTGTCTGCCCGACTGGCCGGCACCGCGTGAGAACGCCACAAGGTGCAGGTGGGGCTGGCGGGCCTGCCTAGCTCGGTTTTACTGTAACGCGCCGTCTGCATGGAACAGTCCTAGCTCCTTGGCCCTGCTTCATTGGCTAAAGGCGATAAAGGATCAGTGTATGCGGAGTCAAGGGGTCAATGGAACCCCAGAACACGCAGGTGCCAAGGGGAGTCCGCCTTGTGTTCCGACCAACGCTCTTTGGATTGGAAAGCTTTGACCAGAGGTCCTGTCAAATGCAGCCAGTATCGCGAGAGCTTTGACCCCGCAATCTCGGGATAGCAGTGGCAGTTTGTGGGATAGTTTTTGCTTCGACCGTTTCACAAAGCAATATCCAATTTTCTAACTCGCGAGGTGATACACGGCCGCTGCGGTGAGAGGGAGCGAAGCCCGCCGCCGTTATAGGTGCAAGGCCGACAGTGATGCGTGCGTTAAAAACTGGCAGACAGACATTTAGTTCGTGTAAGTTGGGCGCCAGGAATTATTGATCATGTACGAATCCTCGGTATTCCACCTGTAGTTTCTCTCATTTGTCCATCTGGGACCCAAACCACCGGCGCCATTTCGGTCCCCTGTCCGGACCACAATCGGTCGGTTGGCCCTCATTCCATCTGATGACCAGTGCGGTCCCTTTTGCCGTTCTTCCATTTGTCTGAGCCCTTATATAACCGTGTCACCCATCCCTTAAACCACCGTGTCACCCATCCCTTATGCCACCCTGTCACCTGAGCCCTTACGTTACCATGTCACCTGAGCCCTAATGTCACTGGGCCACCTGAGCCCTAATGTCACTGTGTCACCTGAGCCCTAATGTCACTGTGCCACCTGAGCCCTAATGTCACTGTGTCACCTGAGCCCTAATGTCACTGTGCCACCTGAGCCCTAATGTCACTGTGTCACCTGAGCCCTTATGTCACTGGGCCACCTGAGCCCTAATGTCACTGGGCCACCTGAGCCCTTATGTCACTGGGCCACCTGAGCCCTTATGTCACTGTGTCACCTGAGCCCTAATGTCACTGGGTCACCTGAGCCCTTATGTCACTGGGCCACCTGAGCCCTAATGTCACTGGGCCACCTGAGCCCTAATGTCACTGGGCCACCTGAGCCCCTATGTCACTGTGCCACCTGAGCCCTTATGCCATTGTGTCACCTGAGCCCTAATGTCACTGGGCCACCTGAGCCATTATGCCATTGTGTCACCTGAGCCCTAATGTCACTGGGCCACCTGAGCCCTTATGCCATTGTGTCACCTGAGCCCTAATGTCACTGGGCCACCTGAGCCCCTATGTCACTGTGCCACCTGAGCCCTTATGCCATTGTGTCACCTGAGCCCTTATGTCACTGGGCCACCTGAGCCCTTATGCCATTGTGTCACCTGAGCCCTAATGTCACTGGGCCACCTGAGCCCTAATGTCACTGGGCCACCTGAGCCCTTATGTCACTGGGCCACCTGAGCCCTTATGTCACTGTGCCACCTGAGCCCTTATGCCATTGTGCCACCTGAGCCCTTATGTTACCGTGCCACCTGAGCCCTTATGTCACTGGGCCACCTGAGCCCTTATGCCATTGTGCCACCTGAGCCCTTATGCCATTGTGCCACCTGAGCCCTAATGTCACTGGGCCACCTGAGCCCTCATGTCACCATGCCACCTGAGCCCTTATGCCATTGTGCCACCTGAGCCCTAATGTCACTGGGCCACCTGAGCCCTTATGCCATTGTGCCACCTGAGCCCTAATGTCACTGGGCCACCTGAGCCCTCATGTCACCATGCCACCTGAGCCCTTATGTTACCATGCCACCTGAGCCCTAATGTCACTGGGCCACCTGAGCCCTAATGTCACTGGGCCACCTGAGCCCTAATGTCACCATGCCACCTGAGCCCTAATGTCACTGGGCCACCTGAGCCCTAATGTCACTGGGCCACCTGAGCCCTAATGTCACTGGGCCACCTGAGCCCTTATGTTACCATGCCACCTGAGCCCTAATGTCACTGTGCCACCTGAGCCCTAATGTCACTGGGCCACCTGAGCCCTAATGTCACCATGCCACCTGAGCCCTTATGTTACCATGCCACCTGAGCCCTAATGTCACTGGGCCACCTGAGCCCTAATGTCACTGGGTCACCTGAGCCCTAATGTCACTGGGCCACCTGAGCCCTAATGTCACTGGGCCACCTGAGCCCTTATGCCATTGTGTCACCTGAGCCCTAATGTCACTGTGTCACCTGAGCCCTAATGTAACTGGGCCACCAGAGCCCTTATGTCGCTGTGCCATCTGAGCCCTTATGTCACTGGGCCACCTGAGCCCTAATGTCACTGGGCCACCTGAGCCCTAATGTCACTGGGTCACCTGAGCCCTAATGTCACTGGGCCACCTGAGCCCTAATGTCACTGGGTCACCTGAGCCCTAATGTCACTGGGCCACCTGAGCCCTAATGTCACTGGGCCACCTGAGCCCTTATGCCATTGTGTCACCTGAGCCCTAATGTCACTGTGTCACCTGAGCCCTAATGTCACTGGGCCACCAGAGCCCTTATGTCGCTGTGCCATCTGAGCCCTTATGTCACCGTGGCTCCTCTGCCACCCGAACCGTCAGTCTAAACCTTTTCAGCACCGCCGCAGTCCGGTCCGCTTCTGACTCGGCCAGGCGCCGATAGATGGCTCTGCCGGTGCCCCGTCGGTCGATAGTCGGCTGCCCAGATGGGCTTGTTCGCCCCAGTTAAATATTGTATCGCACCATGGCAGCGGCTGCGAGGTGGGCGGCGCCCGGGCGCGGCCGCCGTCACTAGCATGGGCAGGCGGAGCGGCGGCCGGCCCCGGTCCGCGCGGCCATCGCGCGGCCGCCGGCAGGCCGCCGGGCCCGCGGCGCCGCTGGCGCAGCTCCATCGGGAGTGCCGCGATGAATGAAACAGAAGGAAAGAGCAGCTCGTGACAGCCAGCGTGATCTGGGACAGCGGCGGGCAGGGCTCTGATGTTCGGGAATATTCCCCCGCTGTAGTGCCTGCGTTATTGGTCGCCTGCAGCTGGTTGCATTTAAATAATTGCGGTGGGCTGTCAGAGAAGAGGCATGACTTTCGTCTGGAATAAAATGCGTTGGGGGCTTGGAGGCTCGTCTGCACTGAAATGGATTTGCTGCGGGAGTGGTTTTTTATGTTATCTACGCTTGTGTGAAGTACAACACGTTTCTTTACTCAATTTTACATCTCGTATTTTGTTATGCTTGTTCCAGAACATATTTTTAAAACCCCAAGATCTAAACATCTTTGGTTCGTTCTGACTGCGTGTGTAGCTCCCTTTAACCGTGAAAAACTCATCGGGAGACCATCGAAGGGAAGACAAGCAACGCGTGTGTGGATATTGATGAATGATTACTGAGATTACAAAACGAACTGCGCTTGATTACCCCCGAGGGTACCGTGCGCCAGCACGCGCGCCCCGCTCGGTAGGCGCCAGCGGCGTGTGCGATTCGGCTACGACCGGCGGCTAAGCAGTAGCTGGCTGAACAGAGGCCTGACTGGACCCTCCTTCATCCTCTGGCTCTCCTCGGCAGCACAACGGGCCTAGCTATTGTACGGCAGTGGGTGCGATGCCTGGGAGGTGCTCTCTGCTCCAGATGGTAATTCAATTCTGGTGTTTGATTTTCAGTTTAAGGCGTTGCCTCGTTTACGGCGTGTAAACACGCTGACGGACAGGGCATTAAGTCGCGCTTGATCATGTTTGTTCGTCTGCCATGGCTGCTATCAGTGTCGTCAGTGCCATGTGTGCCGGGCGTTTTAAGAAGCTCGGCGTCCTCGCCCAACGATGGGTTGCTCTCGCAGGACTGTTCTCACCATGTTCTCACCCAACGCAGGATTATTCTCACCACGGCATCTGTCAGTGGACTATCCATGAGCTTCGTTTTCCGTCAAATGAGCTCAGCTTGTCAGTTTGTCAGGGGCAGACTCCGCTGCATCCGTTAGCGCCGCGGGCGATGACAGCGTCATTTTGCGTCCAGCAGTGATCCTTAACTCCAGCCTCGAAACCAGATCAGGCAGATCGGGGCCTGCTGATGGGATATTGAGCCGGGCGGGCGGCTACCGATGTCGGAGCCGGGCCCCCGGACAGCGGCGGCGCTCCGGTGGGGCGGCCGCAGCAGGCCCTGCCCGACCTCAAGCCGTCGACGGCCGCAGCTCTGCCCTGCGAGCGCCGGCGGAGCGACCGGCGCCCGCTCGCTCCGAGCGTCCGTGCGATGAGAGCGGCGCAGCTCTGCCCTGCGGGCGCCGGCGGAGTGATCGGCGCCCGCTCGCTCCGAGCGTCCGTGCGATGAGGGCGGCGCAGCTCTGCCCTGCGGGCGCCGGCGTAGCAACCGGCGCCCGCTCGCTCCGAGCGTCCGTGCGATGAGAGCGGCGCAGCTCTGCCCTGCGGGCACCAGCGGAGCGATCGGCACCCGCTCGCTCCGAGCGTCCGCGCAGTGAGAGCGGCGCAGCCCCGCGGTGCGGTCCGGAGCGGGTCGCATCAGCAGGCCGTGCGACGCCCCGTCAGGCGGTAGTGCGCGGATGGAGGCCGGAGCTCCCCGCCGGCCGGCTCTTCACGGCCGCTTTTTGCGGTTTCCCCCGCTGCGGACGGATGGCAGCGCGGGAAGTCGTCAAGCCGAACACCACTGGCGTTCGAGATAAGCGGATTAGACCCCGTCGTCGCCAGCGACGGCTCAGCTGAATCCGGGTCGGAACCCACGACCGGGCGCTGGGCGTCACTTGACCCGGCATCGAGGGCGACTTCTGCTGACGTTTGATGCAACGGCACCTGGACATCCGCCGCACTGGACCAACAATTGCGTCTGCGCTTGGTGAAGATCGATGAATCCATCTTCCGAGACACACCTGACCTTTGAGCTCTTGACCTTTGGAGGGCGGCGTAGGGAATTACAGCCCAGTCGGCGCCGGCTCAAAGTCTATGTGTCGGGGGGGCGACAGGTGTTATTGCTCCGGGCCTGCCGTCCACTAGACTAGCGGAAGGATGGGACACTGGCCGGCGTGCGCCCTGCAGGAGCAGACGCCAGGAAGCTCAGGTCTCGCAAGAGCGTTAATGGCGCTCGTGTGCGATCAGATCAGGCCTGATCCTACCTGTTGCCTTTACTGGGATGCCAGGCCGACACAACCATGCCATCATAGCCCTGGGTGCATGACCTGGGCTAACCAGGTGTCGGCGCCGGGGAATGAAGGTACCACAGCCACACCGGTGCCGCTTTTGCGTGCAAAACTACCTGGTTTCACTGGCCTGACCTGTGCCTTGACGGATGACCCGACCTGACCTCTGACCCTGCCCGCAGGTTGGACGGGACGCCTCTGCGACACAGACACCCCTGAGTGTCAGTTCTCGCCGTGCCAAAACGGCGGCAACTGTACAGAGCTGCCGGGAAGCTTCGAGTGCACCTGCCTGCCCGAGTTCTGCGGCAGGTCGTGCGACCTCAACAACCACTGCGTCGAGAAGGTGAGCGGACGCGACCGGCTCGCAGATGAGGCTGTGGCCTGGCGCGAGAGCGCAGTGGCAGCGAACGCCGCACCTGACAGGCGGACCAACTCAATGCCGCTCATCAAGCGAGGAGCAGTTTGTGGACCTCCCGCTGCTGAAGGCGTCTCGCTGACACTATTACCGTTAAATTTGATAATTTACGAGCAGCCGCTCCCTTATTCAAGTTCGTTCTGAGTTTCGTTTCAAAACAAACGGGAGGAGTGGAACGCTTGGAAGCTCTTAAAGTGATGACGACAATAGGCGCACATGTCAGGCTCACACGGATGGGCTGCAACGCTAATGCTGTCAGGAAAGGCTCGAAGGACAAACATGCCGATGGGAAATGGGGTGCGATGGAGATGGGAAATGGAGGGATGGGAGCTGCAGAACACGGGGATAAGGGCCGTAGGGAAGAAATAAGTGTTCTGCGAACTCCTGGGTCCCCGTGGTACATTCAAGCCATGCCTTTCAGGTTGCTCGTTGTTCGGCAGGCACAAAGTCGAGGACTTGAAGTTGCCATCCTCTCGACCTCAACGAAGATTGATGCGTTTTCTTGGTGACCGTGCTGTATATGCAAAACAATGCAGCCATATGTTCAGAGCGGGCGCGGTCCTTCTACTTCGGCTAGCAACAAGGCAATCAGCCGCCTGCCACCCATCCGATTATTAGCCAGCCATAGCCGAATCTGGTTTTAATGTTCGGGGCTCGATTAACAAGTCATGTTTGAAATGCAGTTGATTGCTCGAATATTGGCATTTGTGTAACTTAACGCCAATTGGGGACGCAGCTGGATCCACAACATCTCAGAAAATTAGCGTTAAATTTATGTCGTTACATAGAAAGAGTAAGCCCAAAATGGTATGTGCATCCAAAGCATTTCATGAAAAGTTTCGCCTTTAGATCTTACCCTCACGCTTGTCATAAGTACCGAGACGAAAAGCACGCTAAAACAACGTGCCGTGTGTGGCCCATTCGTGTTGGTCACGCCTGAGCTGCTAATTGCTCTCGTCGACCGGATATCGACGATATGCACACATGCATATTGCATGGTCCGGACTCATCCCACCTGGTGTCGGCGCTCATAAAGCCTGGGTATATGCATCGACGGGGACCAGCTGCCGCCGTCGAGTGCCCCCCCCCCCCTCCCCTCCCCCGTCGCCGACCGATAGCCGGGCGTCGCCCGGGCGTCCCCGGCGTCTGGGCAGCCGTGGACGGGCGGCGGCGGACGAGCGGCGGCCCGGCGTGGCGTGGCGTGGCGTGGCGTAGAGCCCCCCGCCCCGCACGTCCGCAGTTCACACGACCGTTGCCGGAGGAGGATCGCGCACGGGCGGAGCTGAGAGCACCGGACCGATGGGGCTATTCCCGAATGCTGGTCTCCGGCGCTGCGGCGCGGCGGCCTTGAGCCGTGACCTTTGTTGCGTTCCGGCGGATGTGAGCCGTTCCCATAGGTCAGGCTCCGACGACCGCCCTCCTCTGCCGCAGGTGGACGATTGCAAGAACGGCGGCGTCTGCGTGCCCTACTGCGACGGCGACCGCAACAACTACAGCGTCCGCAACACGACCTGCATGTGCTTCGACGGCTACTACGGCCCCACGTGCGAGGACCGGGTAAGTGCCGGGTGCGCGGGACGCCGGGAACTCTGCCGGCACGCCGCCGCTTGCCCGTGCCGCCTGGGTTGTCTCTGCCGCCTGCTGGAGGCCCGACGTCATGTTGCTGGTTGTGTACGTCGTCGACGGTAATGTCGTGTCAGGATGATGGTAGCGTACCGCGGTCTCATCTCTCTGTAGGACGACGGCTGCGGGCCCGTCTTTGTCTGCGATGTTCTCCGTGATAACAATGTTTGGCGAACAAAAAGTATTTGCGTCTCTCTTGGTCATTAAGATAACGGTAGCTATTCAATTTAGATAAAGATGGAGACAATGTTTTCAATTAGAGGAACTCAAGAATAAGCTAGAATCATACTGCGTATTGGGACATTGTCTGGCCTTGTCTTCCGCTGCTCTCACCGGCTGCAAGGGCGGCAGAAGCTGGTTGAGAGTTAATTTTGGCCATGAAAACTCAGCATCCCGACTAATGCTCAGAAAGAGCAATACATTGCTCTCACACTTTCTGGGAATATTTATATCGAAAAATGTACCTTCGGCTATTTTGCGACCGGAAGTAGTCGTAGGGAATAGTAGAAAGTAGATGACTACTAACAAGATTTGTCTCGAAACGAGACAGGTTCGTGGTTTACCATTGACCATGTGCGCAGAGTTGAAGGTCACCTCTGCTGCAGTATGTACGTCGCTGTATGTACACTGTGTGCGCCTCTAGAGTTGTACGTGTGCTCATGCATGCGGTAAATTTTAGTTTTATGGAGGTTATTCATAGACTCAGTTGCCGTTCCGGCACTTCCATTTGTCCAGCGCGAGCCGTTGGCATCCCCCTGAAGCTTCAGGGGACTACTGTCGATTACTGATCCAGTGGACAGTGGGTTGTCTCGGAATAGCGCGTGCTGGTCATGGTATCCCGGATAGCCTCTACACGTTTTAGGTTGCTTAGAACATACTTCTGAGAGCCTGTGATTCCATTTTTAGAGTCTTTCTGCTAGATTTCACACCCGCGTTCGTTTTTGCGACCACTGAAACCATGTACGGCTTCTGAGGCCGCCTAACGGAGACTGAAGTCTCGATGGCCTTGTGTTGGTCTCAGGGCGTTTGAAAGCAACGCGTGATAAGCCCGTTCACCGCACGAGCAATACCTGGTTCTGATCGCCCCGACACACTTTCTCGACAATGAACTTTGATCATATCAGGTCTGTACCGTTTTGTGCTCACAAGCGTGTTGGGAATGACCTTAAACTTCCAGGAGGCCCTTACATTTGTCTCTGGGCGTAATCAGTTTAGCGCCCAAAGTGTCATCGGCTTTCTACCGGCTCCCTTTCGCCCTGAGGCTTTGTGGCTGTGACGGACCGCATGCCCTGGCAGTGGAACGTCACATCGGGTTCTATTGGGATCATCTATCGGCCGTCTTATTTTTACGATCGCCGCGGAGCTTCTGAGCCTGTTTCCGGAACTGCCAGTCGTCTTTGCCCCCCCCCCCCCCTGACCATCGTTGTGGAACAAAGGCAAACTTAATTCGGAGCCATCAGTTCGTTATAGACTTTAGTGGTCTGCTGTAAGAAATTCGTATGTTGGAAGAAGCCGACCCACATCACACTAGGAGGTACTGCCTGAAAAAAGAATATCGGATATGTGCATTCTGAAGACTGACGGTTTGCGACAGCACTCATGCGAGCTGGGTGCCACCCATGAGGTAGGATTCATAGATCTGCGACCAAGGATGATGTCCTGCATTTTTCGAGGCCTCAACATGACCGGTATCTTTTACACTTTTGAGGACGCTAGAAACGTATTGCAGGATATCATCAGCCAAGTGCCTGATTTTTTAGATGAGGTATAACATTGATTTCTGGTTCCGATCACTTTCATAAAAACAAATCACTTGAATCGAAGCCGTAGGAAATCTCAATTTTCTTACAGCCAAGATGAATGGACTTTGTATAACCGCTAGGCAAGCTGAACTTTGGTTGGTGTTGCACAAGTATAATATAGATGTAGCAATAATCTCAGAAACCCACTTAGGCAAGACCTTCCAAAATAATCCAATTTTCCAAGTCGGAGATGAAGCATTACGACGAGACAGAAACTTGATGGCGGTCAATAAAAGTAATGGTGGAGGAGTCGCCACAGGCATGAAGAGTAACTTGCCGTGCACAGAACCCAAAATTGAAGTCCCAGACGAGCTTAAAGTTTACTGGAGCATCATTCGACCTTTGCAACTCGACAGCATCATAATGGCTTGAGTTTACCTCCCTCCTGATGCATCAGTCTGTCGCCGGCAAAGGCTATCTGACCACCTTCTGGAAACATTTGATCATCTTCGATCCTCAAGGCCAAGAGCAAAACTGTCTTGGTAAGAGACTTTAGCACAACATTTGATGCAGAATTGTTAGCCTGTCAACTGGGTCCCCGTAAATAGTTACGAAACCCACAAGAGGCTCCGCCGTACTGGACAATATCCTGACTGATTTTGATTCTCCAAGTGCACCACTAAACCTATTGCCCATTGGCGCGACATGCCACAAACTATAGTATGGTTGGCTGCAAAACAAGCAGAAAAATATAAACCCTAGTGCTTCGCACGTCCTTTGAATGACTGATTCATCAGAAGTTTTGGCAGATGGATTTACTGCCAGGATTGGCAAGATATGGCAGCAATAAATGATATAGACGAGGCTGCTGCTTGACTAGAACTGCTACTTCAGAATGCTTATGAAAAGTACCTCCCTGAAATTAAGTACAAATGTAAGACAAGTGCTCCGCAGTGGATAACAGAGCGCCTCAAAGAACTGATTAACAAGCTAAATAGGACGAAAAGTCGTCATGAAATGGACAGACTACAAAAACTTGGAGACAGAGTAGGCCTTGAATTACACCTGCAAAAACGGCATGCTTCGAGCGGCTAAATATAGCATTAGTGGGCTTCTTTGTCCTCTCAGGTCTTCCTAAAGGATAAACAGACGTGACCTACGATACGAATCGTTTGAGTAAAGGTTTCAGAGGCGGCTGGCTGCATTCTCAAAAGTTTGGCATCATCGCACGCAATAACGCTATTTCTGTCATCATCTCGCGTGTCCCACGTCAAGCAAGTCGTCTTACTGTTGCGTACGCACCTGTGCATATGCGATAGCTAAGTGTCCTGCGTACCAATATGCTTATGGCTGACTGTTAAGTCAAACCCGCGATGGAAGGCGTTTTACGGTGTTCGCATCTTGTTGGTGAAGCGTGTGCTGACGGTGCTTGGGTGTTCCCCAGTCGCGCACGGGGGAGATCATGATGGTGGTGGCGCCAGTGCTCAGTATACTGCTGCTCGCGGCCATAGTCGGCATGGTCATCTTCACAACCATGGCCAAGAACAAGCGAGCCACGCGCGGCACCTACAGTCCGAGTCGACAGGTGAGGAAGCCGGAACCAGTGCGGCCACCAACACTTTAAACTTCGGTAGGTGCGCTTGCTGCTTAAGATTAGAAGTAATGTGTGTGCTTGCCACACTGACGACTGCTTCTTGAAAACGATGGACGTTTCGAGCGTGAGTGCAAACGGGCTTTGCTAGCTTTACAAGCGCACCTCGCTGCTTGCCCTCGTGCTGCTGCGGTGTGCTGTAGTGGACTCAGGTCAAACTAGATCCGTCCACGGCAACCACCTGGAGAAGAATCGGCGATGGCTTCCACTCATTTTGTCCGTATGTGCCTAGTGCCGTGGCGCGCGATCTTCGACATAGACTGCCACCTCCGATCTCTGTTGACTCCGCCGCCAACACCCAGCAGCCATCGCGCGCCGCCCGAGGTGCCCGCTGGGTGGCCGTCGTTGCCGCTGCGCTCGCTGGCGGCCGTGGGCCACGGTGTGTCCCACACCGCCGCCGCGGACGATGGGCCCGCTTGCCATCAGCGGACCTGTCGCTGGTCGGCCTGCTGCGGTCTGTCGGGCGGCGGCGTCCCCCGAGTCCGGTGACCGCACGCCGCGGCTGTCCGGCCCGGACACTGCGCAGTCCGGCGGCCTGTCGGGCGGCGGCGTCCCCGAGCACCGGCCGCACGCTGCTGCTGTCCGGCCCGGACGCCGCGCTGTCCGGCGGCCTGTCGGGCAGCGGCGTCCCCGAGCGCCGGCCGCACGCTGCTGCTGTCCGGCCCGGACGCCGCGCTGTCCGGCGGCCTGTCAGGCAGCGGCGTCCCCGAGCGCCGGCCGCACGCTGCTGCTGTCCAGCCCGGACGCCGCGCTGTCCGGCGGCCTGTCAGGCAGCGACGTCCCCGAGCGCCGGCCGCACGCTGCTGCTGTCCAGCCCGGACGCCGCGCTGTCCGGCGGCCTGTCGGGCGGCGGCGTCCCCGAGCGCCGGCCGCACGCTGCTGCTGTCCGGCCCGGACGCCGCGCCGTCCGGCGGCCTGTCGGCGCGAGGCCGGCCCGGCTCGCCGGTCACGGCGCACATTCCGCAGCAGGGCGGCGAGCGGTTCGACGCCGCTCGATGTGGCGGCGCGCCGTCCGCGCCTCAGAGACGCCATCAATTCTCGCGTCTGGTTACTGGAGCGTCGATGAAACCCCCATCGGCCGGAGGAGAGGATTAAGTGTGTGAGGTGCTGCAGCCGACGAGTAGCGGGCTGACTATCGACGGGTGCCGCCGCGCGCCCCGCGTCGCTGAGATGCTAATCAAGGACCGCGGGTCACGCAGCGGGTGGAGTTTGGGAACTGCCGTGTGCTGGCTCGAGACTAATTAAGACCTCCGGCGGTGGCACTGTGTGCTGCATATTGAATGCAATGTCATTCGTTTGCGTTGTAGACAGGAGGGGGGGGGGGGGGGGAGGGTTGAAATGCTGGATAGTTGGTTTTAGGATCACAGTGATAAGCTCAACACCTGCCACGACACAAGCGACTTTTTAAGACAGTTTTGTGCTCGTAAATCTGGCACGTCACTTTCCATCCTATCACGTCGTCATTCGCCCCAACAACTACTGTCCATATTTGAGTAGGCACGAGGACAAATGAACAAGGAAGCGACAAGACATAAAAGAGCTAACTATTTATTAGCGTAGTCTGTCAGTAGCCACACTACGTAACATTACCTCTCAAGCACAACCTCAACAGACAGAAACTGCCTTTGATGAACATTTATTCACCCGGAATTCATCTATGGACATCCTACATGGATGCTAGCCTGTAGGCACTGCCATATCCTACGAGTCGCACAAGACCCCAACAATGGATCGAGACAAATGGAGGCTGGTGTGTGGATAGTTCGTCGCTAGCCGCGGAGCCCGCTCAGTGCTGGGGCGGCCGGGGCCGGCCTGGCACTGGAGAACTCGCGTCCATCCTCCCGCTCATTGATGCCGACGTCCACGCTGCGTCCGCGCCCCGTCTGTCTCCGCGCCTGCCCCGGTCCGGCTCCGTCCGACGCCGCCGGCCGGCCGGGCGTACCAGCGTCGCCAGCGGCGCTGCCTACCGCCGCCCACCCGAGCGGCCGACAGCCATTTAGAGGCACGCCACGTCGGCGGCACGTCGGCGGCGGACGCGGCGCTTGGTCACGCGCGGGGTGCGGCCTTTTGTTGTGCCCGACCGCCGCCGCCGCCGCCGCCGCCAGCGCGCCGTCGGGCGCTTCGCGACGACGCGGATAATCGAATTACCACGTGACAGGATTCTCTCTCTCTCTCTCCTCTCTCTCTCTCTCTCTCTCTCTCTCTCTCCTCTCCTCTCTCTCTCTCTCTCTCTCTCTCTCCTCTCTCCTCTTCTCTCTCTCTCTCTCTCTCTCTCTCTCTCTCTCTCCTTTCTCTCACCTCTCCCTCCCTCTCTCCCTCTCCTCTCTTTCGTTCGGGTGTCGTGTGTCAAGGATCGGCACAATGTGTCATCGATTTCGGCGTCTTTGCCTGCCAGTCTCGTGCCATTCATAAATTACGTTCTTGTTTTTATGTTTCAAGGGGTCTTTCCCCACGAAGTAATCTGGATGTGGCGACGCTTTGGTCTGATCCGTGCCTGTTTTCGCTTGGGTAAGGTGGGCGTGGGGGGGGGGGGGGTTGTGCTGCGATATAAAATTCCAGTTTAACGAATAAGCCTAGCCAAAAATGTTCACGTTTCATGAAATGTCATGATACAGTGGCTTATTGCCACCCAGTCTCCAGGGTGGTCAGGAGTTAATCGCTGACGAATCGTTTAATTATGACCTCTGAGACTCAAACCCACCAGTTGTGCCACCTTCCAAAATCGTTTAGGTAGGATGGCGGATGGACAGTTCAGCAAACAGTTCAAGTTGATTTAACCTGCTCCCAATCCTGATATCTCCCCGGATTCCGGCCACTTTGATTTGCGTCCCTGATGTCCAAATTCAAACTTGAAATAAAATGAAAGATATGCGGTCATCTGCAAAATTGTTTTAATTTTTTAGGAAAGAATTCCCATTTGAAGCCAATGTACTAGTGATGATACTGGTATCTGACAATGATGATATTGATATGGATGCTCTTAGGCACCTGGTGTACCAGCAGTTTAGACACTTGCTGCTTTTCATTGACCTCGTATTTCCATTTTTGCTTATTGGCGTTGTGGGAGGGGTGCTCAAAGACGCATTGAGAAGGCTCAAGTCTGCGTGGGGTGAAGGGCTCAGATGCCCCCCCCCCGCGAAAGCATTCAAAGTTACACCCCTGAAACCCACATTTCATCACAACGTCGTCAGATGCCTTGCGTTGTACCAACTGGACTGAGGAAAACGTGTCTGAACGATTCTTCGAAGCTCTCGAACGGACCTTATCACACTCAATTATTTTCTCCGGCGCATTGCATTGTGCTTTCACGGTTGTCGTGGGATATTTATATGTTCAATACCAGTTACTTTAGTTCTCCTCATCCCTATCTTCTTTTCCTGTTCGTACGAATGTTTTCGGCGAGATCTGATGCGACTGTCACTTTCACCAGCTAGATGATGAGGTGCGTGGCGCGGAGATTCATCGATTCATTTCGTTGATTTCGTCTCAGTCGATCTATCAGTCAGGCTGCATAACAGCAATTCATGAAGAGGGACAGGAGGTACAGCTTTCTTGATGTGACTGATAAGCATTCTCAAAGTACTTCTGTTTTACGTCCGCGTGGCATCACGACCGCGCTGCGCTCTGTCCGAGGTGGGAACGGCGCCCGTGCTCTGACCACCTACAACGCCACCCACAGGCGTTGTTTACCGCAGCTGTCGCGTCCACCCGACCCATGTCCCACTGGCGACCGTGGCGCCCAGCCGGCCCGTCGCCGGCCCGGTCCGGCCGGCGGTGCCGCTCCGCCGGCCGTGTGCCTCCCGGCCGCGTCGAGTCTCTGACGGACCTCTCCGCCGGCGGCGGGCCAGACTGGTGACACGGGGCGGCACGGGCCGCCGGCCGCCGGTGCCGCTCCGCCGGCCGTATGCCTCCCGGCCGCGTCGAGCCTCTGACGGACCTCTCCGCCGGCGGCGGGGCCGCACTGGTGAGCCGGGCCGGCACGGGCCGCCGGCCGCCGGTGCCGCTCCGCCGGCCGTGTGCCTCCCGGCCGCGTCGAGCCTCTGACGGACCTCTCCGCCGGCGGCGGGGCCGTACTGATGACACGGGCCGGCACGGGCCGCTGGTGTCCATCGGTCTTCCCCTGTCGAACGCGCAGGCTTCTTTGCGTTTTCTGGACAAGGAACAGGCTCGGAGGCACCCGGGCGACATCGATGGATGGTCACGGTAGAGACGAACGGAAAGATGACCATGGGAGAGACGAACGGAAACGGTTTCGGAGAGCTGGTGTAAAACTGGGCCGTGTTTGTGCCATTGAACAGCAGTGAACATCACCATTTTGCTCAAGTGGATCGGTATGATAGAAGGTTGAAACTATGTCCTCGTTATTGCAAGAGCGATGCTGGCTACAAAATCAGGGAAAGCGACAGTGTGTAACCCGCTCCATCCCACACTAGGGATCGATAAGAACCTGTCATTGTATGTGACCTGTGACTTGTCATGTTTTTTGTAGAAGTTTATGCCGGAATAGCGTGAGAATCAAACCCGTGGTACACAAGTTTTGTTGTGAGGACCCTCACCGTACGAGTCGCTGGTGCAGTTATAATTTAATCTCATTATGCATCGCACGTGATGTAATGAGATAGGGTACACCAATGTACAAAGTGTTTCACGGTGTCTGTTGTACGACACGCAAGTTGTCGGGCGCCTGAGCGCAAAATACGACCGACGTGACCTAGACAAAGAAGCCATCACTCATGGAGTGGCAAAGGTTGGATCAAGATGCGCTTAAGCACGTAATACGGTCGGAACCCCTGGCTCTGGAAATTCAGGAACCGTGTTTTCATAATCACAGTTTCATTTGCTATTTCAGGTTTCTCGGACCGGTTTTCCAGCGGGGGGGGGGGGGAGGGGGGGTCACGTTCTATAGCCGCCGGCGGCGAACAGGCCACGCTGTTGGGGCAGCGTAATCGGTTCGGTCCCTGCCCCTAGACCGGCGATTGGTGAGGCATGGGTGCATCGCTCCCCCTCCCTAACCCCACCACGCCGCCGGCGGTGGCGGAGACGCATGGTCGGCGATCGCGGCTAATGGCTGCACTCCCGCAGTGCAGTACGCGCGCCCGCCTGTTGACCCCTCCGACCCTCTGACCCTCTGACTCTCTGACTCTCTGACTCTCTGACGTTCTCTGCCGCAGGAGATGTTCAACCCGCGCGTAGAGATGGGCAACATGAAGAAGCCACCGCCCGAGGAGCGGCTCATCTGACGGGCCACGCCCTCGAGGCGTAGAGACACGCCTAGCGAACACTCCCGGCGACGGGGAACGAGCCGTCCGCAGCACATTCCAGCGAGAGGCAGCGGTGACGCGTCCGCGTCAGCCAGCAGCCGTGACGAGCGCAGCGCGCGCCCCGATACCTCACAGGGGATCGTTTTCCGGCGGCGTTTTAGGTTTTTGACGGTGGCATTGTGATAGTGACGTTGGACGTTGTGCAAGCCTGTCTCGTGGCAGGCTGTAAGCCGTGGCCGCTGGGGACGGCGACTGAGTGGGGTGGACGCGGCTGGAGTTTGGTCTCACCGGATAGGAACGCCCGGCTGGTCGGCGATGTTGAAGTGACCAAAGGAGCGACGGCTTCCACAGCGGCCGCTGTCCGTAGGCCGGACCGGAGGGCCGATTCCGTGCCTCCGCCCTCTCCATGGTGCGGCGCAATGCGGTCCGTCTGTGGCCGAGTCCGTGTCTCCGTCCTCTCCATGGTGTGGCGCAATGCGGTCCGTCTGTGGCCGAGGCCGTGCCTCCGCCCTCTCCATGGTGCGGCACAGTGACGTTCGTCTGTTGCAACAGACCGCGGGAGGCCGCTGTCATTTCGTTGCCCCACTCTAATCCCATCCACGTTGTAGGGGTCGCGGCTGATTTTAGACGTCGCATTTTACGCCGGACCATATTGTTTGTGGTACAATCGTGACGCGGTTGGTTTTCCTTTGAGAGTGTTTTTTGGTGGATTGGTGACGCGTGACATCGCGAGTTACGATGCTGGGACCAATTTAGCGGGCGCGTTGGACCAATGTGAGCGCCAGACACGTTTTATACTGGCTGGCTGGGCTCGCGTGCAGCGGGCCGCTGGCTCTTACCGAGCGGCATGTGTTTCCCAAATGGACCGTTTGTGCCAACCGTCCGTCCTTTTCATAATAGCCTGTTGTGTTTCGTCCGTCCAGCCGGCGTCGGCGAGGTGTCGGCAGCCGCCGGGGCTAGGGGTGCCGTGCGCGTGGCCATGGTGTGGTCTCCTGCACCCTGGTCTCAGACCCCGCATCAAAACACGGCTGCAGCATGGACAGTATTGACCACTGGCTGTTGCCGGTGCGGTGCGTGCGTGCCTCTCCAGTCCAATTCTCGCTGCAGCCTTGTGCGTCTTCCACACATGCAGCGAACCCCGACGTGCTTACTCACTGAGACTATATTGTGGTTTGTCAATGCATCGCACCACGACGACTCATGTATTTCGCTGTTTTATCAGGTGCAAGTGATGGACAATACAAACCCGGCCATCAGATAATGCATGGCGTCCGAGGTGCTCTTGTCCACGCCACCGGAAAGTAGCGACGATTGACCCGTGTTTGGCCTTACATATTGCTTTTTACAGCGCGCCAATCTCATCGTGGTGGACACTCGGATATTGCGATTGCAATGCCGTCCAATTACGTGATCATGGAAGGTCATACCATAATCTGACTACGCGTTACCGGTCGGAACTGACTGGCGGGATAGTTGGACTTAAAACTAGCTCTCACCTGTCGAGAACGCAAACATCGTGGAGGCTGCGCACAGACGATCGGATGTTGTTTGAGCTGGCTTGTCAGATCACACATTAACAGTGGTTTATAAGGGTGTTATGGATAATGGAAAAGCGTGAATATTCATCGAGCCGTTCCGAAATCGTAGCTCTTTATGCACGGAGTGTAAAATCAGCGAACAGAATCAACTTGACGTCCGATTTTCGACTGTTGGAAGTAAGACGAGTTTACCGCCCGAAAAGTTCAAAACCCGATTTTCATGCGAGAAGGATGGGTTTGGAGGATGTCGTTACGCTCTGAAAATATCCACCAATACATACGCACCGTTAAGACGGGGCTTTGACGCTCAATAAATGTTTTATTATCGACACCGCTTCCCAGGCCTTTTGACAGCACCTTTTTCGCCCACGGCCCGCAAGTGCTTTCTAGGAATACCTTAAAATAAGGGAATGGCGTGTTGCGAAAACACCCGGCGCATTCGACGCGTTTTTAACGGTAGTGGGACCCATCTGCTCAGCCGCGGAGCAGCAGCGGAGCAACTGCACGGAGGTACGAACTCACGCGTCGCCCACCCAACCCCAACCGCTGACGGCCAGCTTGTCGTCATTAGTTCCCACGCCCGTGGGAACTTCCCACCAGCAGACATAAGAACGACTGACAGCAGAAAATCATCTGCCGCGCCACTGAGACCCAGCCGGCTCGTTGGCCAGCCGGCGGCATGAGCGCCGCCATGAGAGAGAGAGTGAGAGAGAGAGCCTCGGTCGGGCACGCGGGGCGGGCGGGCAGCTCCATCAGCGGCGCACTGGCACGAGATATTCCACGTGGGTGAGCCGGCGGGGGGGGGGGGGGGGGGGAGGGGCGCGCTGCGGCGGATTTGCCGCGTCTAATGTGGATTGTTGGTCAGCGCAGAGCCGGCTTATCCGGAGAGGCTCAAGTAATATCACGGGGAAAAAGCGGGGCGGAAAGAAAGGAAGAACAAAAACAATCGGAAAGGAAGCGCGTGTTGTGGAGATCAACAATCCTGAGAAAGAAATCGTGATGGCAGATGGTGAGTGCGTGAAAAAAGGCACGATCAAAAAGAAATAGTAGATTTTTGTATATATGCACATCGGCGGCTTTGCGCATAGAGAATGCAACAAAAACAAACAAATTGACATCGCGCACGTTTGAGCAATGTTTAGACGCCCGCTCAAAGCCTGAGGCTCAATGTTTTTAAGTTCAGACACGGTCCGAAGTTAACAAAGCCATTCATTTAAGGCCATCATAACGTCCGAGTCATTAAATAAGATTTCGGTGCGCTGAATTTTGCTTGAATGCTGTGGAGTCGGTTAATTTGACCTTGCTTCCGGTCTCGAATTATTTTGCGGACGAATTTTGTCTTTCGTGGGCATAATTTGATCACCAAGTCGTGGAACTCTCCTTTGACACAGGCGCGTTTCAAGCTTATGAATGGCGCAATCAGAAGAGGAAAACCGCGGCGAAAAAGGTTTTGTAATGTCGCTTAACTAGCGCATATATATCATACGTTACGATAAAAAATGTGCTTGAATAATCATGCTATACCAAGTATTAAGTGATGTGTATGACCCATCATCATGGGAGTAGTTGATGTAGAAAATTGGAGCTGGCAAGGCAATGACATATCTGTTGAAGGTCTCTCACTGTACTCCGCTGTATTGCCAGTGGCAGTGGAGAACATGTTAGGAAAATTTCGTTATAGTCCACAAGAATGTAAACACAACGATCAGTTGCTTTCCTCGGTGTCTGATGCAGCGATGTTGAAAGGGGGCTGCGTGATTACCACTGTAGGTCTTCATCGGAAACTTGTTGCAGGTGCTCATCAGGTATTCATTGGCTGCTCACCCAAACCAACTACCCACGCAGAATACACGACACCTTCTATGTATGCTAACTGAGTCCGCCCATGTTGTTCTGTTAAGGTGAATGCTGATGACCCGGATAGATCAATGAAGCATGACTTAAGATGCGACTTAAGATGTGGCATCAACATATTTGCTTCCATCCACATTGTTTGGCCCCGTCTCTGTTGCTATCTCTATACGCCCCACGAAATACACATGGTCGATGCAAATGTTGTTTGTTGTTTGTAGAACAGAAGAAAGCAATGAAAGTACTTATCTACAGCTGAACTAAAAACAAGTGCTGGCTGCAACTACCCTAAATATAATATTTTGGGGTCTATGCACATGTAGTTTTGACTATGCGACGGTTACTCTCTATTACCTGCACGTGCTTCATCATCACAGGCTTTCGATAAACTTTAGCAGTCAAGATTCTGTCTTTTTCACAAGTTGACTAACGCATAGCTGATGTGTTAGGCAAGTACTCAATGTAAGTAAACTGTGCTGGAATTCCTCCCATCCTTACCCCGTCTATTTAGCTTCGTCCATGCTGCCTCATACCAAACGCTATCTAACTGACTTTTATGCTTAGCGCATTACACTCACGCACCGGCCTTGATGTGGTACAGTTAATGCGTTGTTCACTTCGCCTCAGGGGACCGTCAACGGGGTGACGCTGATTGCGGGAACGTCACATTTGCCTCGGCCGGCAGGGGCTCGTCCAGGGATTCTTCCCAGCACTTCCGTGGTCGCCTATGAATGGTGTATGAATCTCGGCCGTTAAATTGCTGTTTACAGTTGATGTAAATTAACAGACAAAATATAATTTCAATTGCACAAAGTCCTGAAGCGTCAGAACACCAGCTCCGACACGCTGAAATGCAGTTGAAGAACACCAGGGCTGATCAATACGAGCCACGCATGGGGGCGGAATCGAGCACAGGGAACACCGGGTTTGGTCAACACGACCCACGCATGAGGGCGGAATCGAGCACAGGGAACACCGGGTTTGATCAACACGACCCACGCATGAGGGCGGAATCGAGCACGAGTTGCATGACGCGAATTAGCCTTTCACACACCCCATCTTGTATTGCTACAGCCAGCACGCACTTGCGATGCAGGTCATAGCAGCACAACACCCTGGCACATGTGTGACGGTGACGTAGTCTCCCGGATTTTGGCCTCCATTATAGGCAGGTTTCCGAGGCGAAACAAGCTCATACTGCACCAGTAATGCGCCTGTTGCGGCGAGGCACCAGCCACAAAGGAGGTGACAGATGCGAAACTTATCGATTGTCATTATGTAGACATGAGTTCTCCCAGCAACAAGCTCTGCTTAGCTGGGTGGACTCCCCTGGAGATCCAGCCCAAAACCCAGCACAAAAATGACCAGGTAATTTGCTCCCCTCCGACTTGTGACTGATACTAACCCCTTACTAACACCGGGAATTGAGTGGTTGTAGATTATTGGGCAGTTTGTAGCGGGCTGTCATTAGCTGATTTTGGCTAATGACTACTTTAAGCCTTTCATCTATGATTTTCCCTCCCTCTCACTAACACAATTCCCTCGGGTCTGCTCCACCTCCTCGCTTGTTTTTTTAAGTTTGTTTCATCTTCCTAGCTGGGAGTGCCGCGACTTGATTTTATGTTTTCTGGTGTTAACGTACGGGTTTACTGCGTCGCTGGATTGAGGGAGGGGCACTCCTGGTTACCTGTTCTTGGGTAACGGCGTAGAAAAAAA